AAAGTTAAGATGTCCTTTGCTACCAGCTGGGTGTTAGTATCAAATTTAAAATTACAAGACACATAAACTTCAATGCTTTTAACCTGCAATACCTTCAGCTACCGCTTCCTGTTCAATATCAGGATATCATCTTGCTGACCTTAAAAACAGAATCATTCTTCCACTTTCATATTTACCTGTTTTCCCTATTCCATGTAAACCCTGTCCTAAAGATACCCTAATCTCAGATCCCACAAGCCTTGAACACACACTCCCATGGAACAGTGCCACCTGAGTGGGAGTGAACTCACCTCAGCCACTCCAAAGTGCAGATGACAATCAGTTTGGAGTAATGACCATTAATAAAGAACTCCTGGCAATGCTTTCCTGATGCTTCCCTGCTCATCTATCATTGATGTGTTTTCTCCTACAACTCCAACCATCTGGAGGAGCCCAAAAGAAATTGATTGACTAAGGACAGGAAATGCTGCAGCTTAATGGGAGGGTGGGTAACAAAACCCCAAACCCCAAGAAAGCAACAATCACTCCTTGTCCATCACACAAATCAGTAACTGTGAAGAAGAAGAGTAGAAATATTCAATGAGGCATGGTTTGACTTGAATACACTAAAACAATTTCCATTACACTTTACAGACATGGAAATTTCACTGCAAAAGGGAAGCTGGTGATTTTGCTTGACAAAGGATTTTCATGGAAGTGTTCAAAGGTCAGCACACACGTGCTTGCCTGCCAGAGTAGTGTCCTATTTTGGAAGATGTAGACTAAGGAAAAGTTACTTCTGTAAAATCAACAAATGGTTTCAGCTCTCAGATACAGTACTATCTTGTGAGCAACTTCCTGCCAAATGCTGATATCATCCTGGATTAAAAAAATAAATACGACAAATTCTGTTTCTGTCAGCAAGCCTTTGTACTAAATCAGAAATGCTATCAGCTGCAAAGATTCGACTTTACTCTCATAGATACAAAAAGGCAAAAGATAAACCTTATTATTTCGAATGATAAACCAAATCCAGTTTTACCAGACAGCACTACTTGAAAAGCAAGTTAAGATACTTAGAAACCACTAAATTAATGCTCCTGATTCTTGTGTATTGCACTGAAACTACTAGCAAAATGCACAAGAGATATTCCAAGATAGCTTTTGCTTTAGGAGTTGTTAAATATGAAAATGAGCTGACTCAACTGCATTTTACTTTCCATGTAATGTGCAAAAGCAGAAGTTTCCACCCAGAAAGCAAACTAAACAACACAACCTTACATAACACGCTCCTGTTGCAAAAAAAAGTTTTATCCCATGTTCAGAGTGAAAAGCTGACCCTCACTAGGGACCACAGCAGCATTATGCCTTGCCAGCACTTTCAGAAGTTCTAACAGAGCTACAGAGCCCTGTATAAAAAATCAAAAGCTGCTGAAGGACAAGGACCTGTCATGTCTAAAGTTGCTTAAGGCCAATCTGTGCTTTTACAGAGTGAAAATACGTGGCTTTGAACAATCCAAAGGTCACTGGTTCACTTCTCATAATGGGTAGCAAAGTCTGCTGAAGGTATTAGTAATGCCAGGGAGTGAAGACCAAGACATGAAGGTTCTTGCACCAACAGACACCCATAAAAAGAATAAAAGCAGTCTGATGAGTTATAAATACATATGCCTTGCACTTTTATCACATTTCTTATGCAATGCTGGCCACAGGACACCAGGCTGGAAGTCCCTGCTGTCTGAACAGTCCAACATTGAGTGTGAGCATGAGCAAAGTCTCGAGGAGAAAAGTCAAAGGAGCATTTCCTGACCTCCAAGCGCTCTACAAGGATGCTGCAGCCTTACAGGCACGTTTTGCATGACAGCAAAACAGAAAGGGATCTGTGAAGTATAACACGAATATACCACGCACAATGACAAAGTAACTACAATTCATTACTGACTTATTTCTATAATACGAGCACTGAAGGGAAATAAAGCAATTATTCTGTAATAAAACAGCATTTCCATATCTCCCTCCTGCTTTATTTTTTTCCTTTTGGGAAGTGTTTTCATTGTTTTGGTAACTGTAGTTTAACCCTGGTAAAACCACTAAAGCACAAGAGCAGTGGAGAATTATAAGGAAGTTATCTGGTGCTTGGATGTGACATGGGCAACAGAGAATGTTTTAACTTCTGCACCAAAAAATCTAAGAAAAAACTTTAAACTGGCAAAAATTTAACCCCATCATAGTTTGAAAAAAAATCTGAATGACTCATCTCACAAACAGCATGTAAGTACATAAGATTAAACAATAAAATTTGATGTCAACACATCTCACACATACGCCTTCTTAGACTTCTACAGTAAAACCAAGTCTGATCTTGTTAGGAGAGACACACCAGAGGAGAACTGAGGGCCCACAACATCACAAATCATTGTTAACTGAACACATATCCTAAGTACCATCCTACTGCAGGATCCACTTCATGGGAACATACAAACCAAAGGGCCTGGCAGTTCACACTCCAGGAAAACTCTGGATTTAATGAGAAATTCTCATCTGGGCACCTCAGAACTTGAAGTGGCAGGGCAGCCTGTCTGGGAGAAGCATCGCTGTGCCTCCCTCCACAGCACAGCTAACTGTGACTTATCAGTCATGGAAAAAAAGCAGAATTGTTAAAAATGGAATTCCCCCAAGCTCATCAGATGGAGCAGTTACGACTGTAAAATCAACCAGTTCTGAGAAGAGAGAAAGGGCACAAGAGCACATCTTCAACAACAGATTACAGCTACACGACAGACCTACAAGTAACACACACAATGTGCAACAAAGACTGAAAAAGCTCCAAGTCTTTTTATCCAAGCATGGGTCAGCACTTTTGTGAACAGTTTCACTATTTCCTGACTGTCAACTTTCCTGCTTGGAGGTTCTTTGCTAAAAAATAAAAGGGGGCTAGAGCCATAAGAAGGAATATGTAACTGTGGAATCACAACTATTACCTATGGAATTAAAAGTGGGCCTCAGTTATTAATAAGTTTCTTCAAGCTGACTTGTTTTGCAAACAAGGCCCTTGCACAAACAAATAAAAAGGAAGGAAATGAGAGCAAATCCTATATTTACTGAATAAGGTAAGAAAAAACAACAGCATATTCACAGTCCTCAAGACTTCAAAGTGAATCAGTGAGGGAAAAAAAATCCATCAAGGAGCTGAGCAGTTCAAGAAACGTCAAGAAAATGGTTGGAAGACAGACACACCCATTTATGTTAGCTATCTCTTCAGAAGTATAAACAAGCAGCAGAGTACCAAAGTAGGCTATTTTTTTTTTAATGATACAGCATTTATTAATGTTTATTAAGCCTTTTATTCTACCACAGGTACAGAATAATACCTCTTCAGGTAAAATTACTCAGGCCTTAATCAGCTGGTGTTACTGATCCTGCATTTTGAAAATGGTTGCAGAGAGAAATGTGCCAGAAAAATGCAGAAAAACTGTTCTAAAAGCATTAGAAATGATGCCACACCTAATTTAGTCAATCACAATTGCCTAAATAAAGATTGTTTCTTCCTTGTGCACAAAGTTCTGCACAATAAAATGTCTCAAAAGGACAGGGCATTAGGGTAACATAAAACAAGTTACACACTATTTCACCTTATCTTTAAAGCAATTTCTTTTCAAGAGAGTCTACTCATTCTCTTAGTGTCATTTTTTTAAAGTCAGCGTTAGTTTTGCCCTCCTAAATACTAGTAACCTGCACTGCACCTTTCCCTTTCATCCCCAAAACACTGTACCTCACTTTAGAAGTGACCTCAGCTACAAGTAGCTGAACATAAATCTCAAGTCACGCCAGGCTGTAGTTTCAATTTATCTCAGTGAAGGCCTTGAAAATTTTGCTTATGTTTACTTCAGCAGGGTATTTTAAAACTGAAAAATCTTACAAAAACTTGAGTCACAACCACCTGTTTGGATATATCACACTTCACTGCCATTAAAAAAGGTTAGTGAAGCTTAGAAACAAACCCTTTTTCACAACCAAATTTGGGACAAAACATTTGTCGAGGAGGTTCCTCCACCCAGTCGCTAAGGGGCTTCTATAGCCGACTGAGGAGCTCTACTCAACGCAACCACTCCAAATCTCCAAACCGTGAGCACACATATGCACGATGAGTGTGGAGGGGAGAACTGAGAGCCGAACCACCTGCCCAGAGCCTTCAGGCACTGCCACCACCAGCTCCAGCAACCCTTCCCCACTTTCTGAACATCTGCACCTAAACACGAGACGCCCCACACAGGGAGAGCCCAAGGAAGCCGCGGTTCTGCCTCAGGCCGGCAGCGCTGCGGGCTCGGCCAGGGGCTCTGACCGCCCTGGGAAGGGGCTGCGGGCTCGGCCAGGGGCTCTGACCGCCCCGGGAAGGGGCTGCGGGCTCGGCCAGGGGCTCCGACCGCCCTGGGAAGGGGCTGCGGGCTCGGCCAGGGGCTCCGATCGCCCTGGGAAGGGGCTGCGGGCTCGGCCAGGGGCTCCGATCGCTCTGGGAAGGGGCTGAGGGCTCCCGGCGAGGGGCTGAGGGCTCCGATCGCCCTGGGAAGGCGCTGCGGGCTCCGATCGCTCTGGGAAGGGGCTGCGGGCTCCCAGCGCCTCGGGAAGGGGCTGAGGGCTCCGACTGCACCGGGAAGGGGCTGCAGGCTCCCGGGAAGGAGCTGCGGGCTCCGCGCGCGGCACCACAGCGGCGGCAGCACGGCCCGGCCCGGCCCAACTGTTGCTGCGGCGGGCACAGAGGCGCCGGGGCCGCTGCAGGAGCGGATCGCACCCTGCGGGCCCCGCCAGGCCCGCGGCACCTTTCCCCGCCGGACAATCTGTGCCGGGCGCTGCCGTGCTGGGCTAGCGCTGCCCCCGGTCCCGCACGGGGCCCGGCACGGCCCGAGCGCGGCCCCGGCACGGGCGGTGCCCCCGGCCCTTCCCTCCCTCCGTCCCCGCTCGGCCCCGGCAGGACCCCTCTCCCGCCGGGATGGCGGCGCTCGGCCGCGGGCGCGGCCCCTCACCGATGGTGGAGATGAAGGTGGTGTTGAAGGCGTCCTCGCTGAAGCGGAAGAGCAGGCAGGTCTTGCCCACGCCCGAGTCCCCGATCAGCAGCAGCTTGAACAGATAGTCGTAAGTCTTCGCCATCTTCGCCTGGGCTCGGCTCGCCGCCGCAGCAGGAGGGGGCGAACGCGGGACGGAAGGAGGGCGGGACTCGGGCGGGGAGGGGAGGAAGGGAAGGAAGGGAAGCAGGGCCGGGCGGAGGGAGGGAGAGAGGCGGCGCTGCGGGCGCGTCACGGCCGGAACCGCCGGGCCCGACGGGGGCTGTGGTCCGCGGGCCTGCCCTCACCCACGGCGGCTCCGGGCCGTCCCACAGGGCTCAATTCCCGCCCGAACACAGCAGCAGTTGTAACCAGAGTAATATAGTTATGTATTTAGTTATATAATGGCATAATTCCCTCACGTCCGCAATGAGAGAGTCTTGCCTGTGACCTCAGAAGTTGATATGTTGCCCATGGCATGTCAGCTCCCAAAGAAACTTGTGTGCACAAGACAAAAATGATGTTCATGGTGTCTCACGTAACACTGAAAACGGGGTGTGCTACAACAAGAGATCTGCTCTGGAGCAGCTGAAACGCTTTCCCCCATCTTTTTTCCACTAATAATCTCTTGGTGCGAGGCAGCCTCATTATGTATTCATTATAGTGTGTTCCCCACAGGATGTCACAAGGCACTATAAAAATAAATAGCACTACAAAACACTTCAAAATGACAACAAGGACTTACTGCTTTAATTTAATCTAAAAATTGTAGCCTTCAGACAAGCTATAAACAGAACACTCTAACACTACAAATCACTAGAACAGTTCTCAGCTCCCTCTTAGCAAAAACAGAAAAAAGATTTCCCCAAATCATTCATTAAGGTTTCTATTAGTTATAACCCAGCATACTGTAGGGTCCTTTCTCACTTTTGGGTTGTTTTTTTTTTCCCTTGTATGTGTGTTAACTTGGCGAATATTTATGCTGAGCTCTATAGAGAATCAAACAAAATTAGTTTTGAATATTAAAGCTCTCCCATACATGCTTAGCCTCTTGCAAGCACACAAAAAATTCACCTCGTGACATTAAACAACAATTTGATGTGAAATAGGACCAAGCCAGTCTAATCCCTGGTACTGCTGTATTTGTGCACTGAGGAATCACTCCAAACAAATACCTTCAGCTATTATGCTCCTTGAAAAAGCAAAAGGTATTCTGCTCCTAGTTATAAATTATCCAAATTTTCCCCATTAAGGGTCTCAGCTGGGTGGTAATCCCAGCGAATATAATGAAAAATCCATTGAAAGATGTGATGTAAAACTCTGTACAAGGTGAATTCAGCAAGAGCTTGTCATGAATGCTAATCTAATTTCCAGTTAATTGGATCAAAATCTAATTTTATATCTATACGTTTATGTGCTTCATCATAATTCAAGTGAAAAAAATATTATTCTTATTTATAATAATTGTTTGATTGAGACCTCTGGAAGACCTGGGTATCATCTGATAGAGGAGAATGAAAGCTGCAAATCAAGGATGGCAGGAATTGCCAATTCTTTTTTTTTTTTTAACACACCTGAGGATCTCTGCCTAGTTCAGGCCAGAATTTGAAAACGTGGCTGCTTGGATCATTTTTATACTGTATAATTAGCAGTCGAGATTTTAAATGTTAAAATGAGTTGTCACACTACTTATTACAATAATTGAGTTTATAAATTATAATGGCAACCTGGCACTGAAGCAGTCAGACCAAATTGGTTAATTACTGCAGTCTAACATCAATAATTGGATTATAGGAAACTGCAAATGAAAAAGTCTCTGAAATATTTTCCTGTGGCTGTACTTTAGGGACATGAGTTGCTGTGTACTGTAATTATGGCCATGCTGAAGATGACTACACAAACACATTTCAGCACTGAAGAGAGGATTTGGGGGTTAATATTCACTCTTGAGTTTGGTGGAACACGTAGGCTTTCATATGTCTCTGGAGCAATATGTTCGTGATCGCCATCTGTTACTCAAGAGTATTTTTATAGAAAAATAATGCAAATTACTTCCCTCTTCAATTACACTGGTGCGTTCTGTTCTGATTTGGAAAAGTGCCAGTTTGCCACATTCAAGGGACAGATGTTTATTTAACCATGGACTTTAAAAACAAGATAGAAAAATTAAGTTGCATTTTTTATTGTCTAGAATATGAAAAAAAGCCTGTAATTGTTCAACTGTATACCTTATAATATGTTAGTAAAACTTTGAGGAGTACTATCAAAGCTGTCAAGGTTCAATAGCCACACCTCTGTGATACCTGTTCCATGAAAACACTGGAACTCAGTCTTTGTTATTGCACCAAGTTGGAAAAGTTAACATTTGGTTTATATTACATTGCAGTCAAATAGATCAACAATTCTTTTCTTTTCTGGCATGGGAGAACCTCTGAGGGGAGCACTGAATATGTAGGAAATAGAACAGATTTGAAACTATGGTTTACATTTTGTCACTATGTAAAAGCAGATGGGACCGTAACAGTCTGATTCTGTTTTGTACATTTCAAAAAGCAGAATTTAAAAACTCTTTACAAACCCTAAATTACTACCCTACCATTTTGCCTGAATAGAATCACAGAATCATTAAGGTTTGAAAAGAGCTCTGAGATCATTGAGTCCAATCCTTGACCAAATATCACCTTGTCAGCTAAGCCCGAGCACAAAGTTCCATCTCCAGTTTTTCTGAACTCTTCCAGGGATAATGACTCTGTCACCTCCCTGGGCAGCCCATTCCAATGTCTAATCACTGTTTCTGTGAAGAAATTCTTCCCATGTTTGACCTAAACCTGCCCTGGAGCACTTGTTCCCCGGGAGAAGATCCTGATCCCCACCCTCCTTTCAGCAGTGAGAAATTCCCCCCTGAGCCTCCTTTTCTCCAGGCCAAACACCCCCAGCTCCCTGACCTGTTCCTCATTGTGCTCCAGGCCCTTCCCAGCTCTGTTGTCCTGCTTTGGACTCACTCCAGCACTTCCATGTCTCTCCTGAATTGAGGAGTCCACTGCATGTGCCCCCAGTGTGGGGGTCCCAGTTGTTGGTTTCTCTGGGTCTGGACTGAAGGCACTTGAGAGGGTAATTCATGTTCAGAATCAGGTGTTTATTATTTCTTATCACTAAAACAGTCTCACTGCTGTGAGTTCAGCACCTTTTCATTAGAAGGCACAAAATGGCCAACAATCTCTTGGTACAAGGTCTTTTAAGACTAAACTATCCAATTAAGTATTTACATCTAGATTATTTTCCCTTTTAACCCAATAACTGATCCCACAGAGCTGCAATGCAGACTTTTCTGCCCAATTACAAAACACCACCCAAACCCATGAAGAAGTGTAGGGGGATAGAACATAAGTAAATAAAGGTAGTATAGAAAGTAATCTTACCCCCTAAAGAGTTGCAGCTGGGTTAATCATTAAATATTTGGAGCAGGCCTGATGTTAACAGGCTGCATTTAGCCAATAAGAAGAGTGTTATAAAGAGTGGATTGGTGGGAACTGGAGTTGGCTGCTGTGAGGACAAGGAGGAGTCAGTGCCCAGAGGAGCTGCCTACAAGAAACATCAAGGAGGTACAAAACTCTGTCAATATGGAACCCTTGCAATGTAATGGCAATAGAACTCTTGCAATATAATGACAAAGAAGAAGGCAGAAGAAGCATGAAGAAGAAACTCAGGGTGACACCCTGTGCCCTCCATCTTGCTTCCATTGACAACACGCTAAAAACCCCAAAACCTAAATTTCTCACAAAGTGATACACCTACACTACTCTCTATAATCTATTTCACACTTTTGTGGATTCCAGTTTATCTTGAAGTCTGGGGCACTTTCTCCATGAGTGAGGGTCAAAGTCAGTGCTGCCCTGGGGGTCAGGGCACCCCAGGGCAGACACAGAAATATTGCCAGTGCCCTGGGTTTGCACACCCCAGCACATGCCCATGGTCACTGCCCTGGTCCTGCTGGACATAGCATTGCTGGTACAGCCCAGTGCCATTGGCCTTTTTGGCCCCCTGGGCTCATGTTGAGCCCCTGTCACCAGGCACTCCAGGTTCCTTGCTGCTGGGCAGCTTCCCAGCCCCTCTGCCCCAGCCTGTGGTGCTGCAGGGGCTTGTTGTGACCCAGGGACAGCACCCAGATCCAGCCTGTCCTGATCCCTCTGCAGAGCCTTTTTGTCCTCCAGCAGATCAACACTCCCACCCAACTTTGTGTCATCCATGAAATTCTTAAGGGTGCTCCCAATCTTGTCATCCAGATCATCAATAAAGACCTCAAAAAGGACTGGGCCCAGTACTCATCCCTGGGAAACACCACCAGTGACTGGTCCCACGTGGATGTGGCACCATTCAGCATCGTGCCAGACATTTTTAACCCAGCAGAGAGTGCACCTGTGCAAGGCATGGCTGCAGCTTCTCCAGGAGGCCAATGTGGGACAGTGCCAAAGGCTTCCTGAAATCCAGGCAGACTGCACAGCCTTTCCCTCAGCCACCAGGCAGGTCACCTGCTCATAAAAGGAGAGCAGGGCCAGAGTTCAAGCTCATCCAATGAACAGGGGAGTCCTAATCAAGGCATGGCAGAATTCCCTTAGTCACTGGGGGGTAGGTAAAGTGCATCTGTTAAAGCCCTCAGTTTAAGAAAGGAATTAATAGGGATATCAATGTGTAAGGATGACCTCTACTCATATGCACTAAGTTAAAAAATCTTTATATATACATTAAAAAAAGCCAGAAAACACTTGTTTAACAAGTGTTAACACCTTCAAAACACCTACGTTTTGAAGAAAAAAACAGATTATATTGCTACTTCTTTCCCACTCTCATTTTTAATTTCTCAAATGATAGGCATCATTACTTCTAGCTTTCAAAGATCCTTTTCCCCTTTTAGTTCAAAGGTGAGACTGGGTAGGTAAAAAGACAACTGGGTGAAAATCTGTGTTCAATGAAGCTCTTCGCAATACACACAAAATTGTAGAAAATTCTGCATCTTAATTGCTTAAGTACAAGGTTTGAAAAAAACAACAGAGTTTAAAACATGTTGGTAGAAAGATCCTGTTATTTTGGCACTAACTGGAATCAGCAGGTCCAAGTCCTACCAACAATAATCTTATGAGGCAGTCCTGCCCTGAATGCCACCT